ACACTAACCTGCTCTGTGTTTATAACCACAGAAGAAGAACACACTAACCTGCTCTGTGTAACCTGAGCTGAGGGTTGTAAACAGCGTCCAGTAGTTTCCGTTGTCGCTCGTTCTCCTCTTTTGAGCGACAAAGTTGCTCCTCGTACTCTGCTATCGTTCTTTCAAACAGCCCAAATATCTCTTCAGCAGCCGCAGTTAGTCGCTGCTTCACCAACGCTCTCAGCATTTGGACTTTACACATCTTCACACTTTAAAAACACAACAAAGACACTCTGCTAACAGACGTTTCTGCTCGACGCCATCTTGTTCAAACACTGTCAAGTTAGCGACAGGAAAGAATAGAGCTTCCGGGGCAGCTCAGCTGCTCTCCTTCAAAATAAAAGTCCAGACGTTTTACGTTCTTTCTGTGAAAAACTCCCGCAGGAAAAGTAATGATTCAAATAGCCTTTTTAAAGAATGACATTCATTGAGCTTGAGGGTTCATTCTTCAACTTGGAAACAAAAGCTTCAAAACATTTCTCAGTCCTTCTGTATCTATCAGAGGAGGGAGTGGCTGTGGTGTGAGCCTCCCTCCATCATAAATGAGTTGTTAGATTTTTATAACTCACCCTTTGATGTTTGAAAGTTAAAAGTTGAGATGAAATCCTGGAGTTAAAAAAGCCTTTTTGGATAAATTATAAATGACATGTAGAAAAAAGGAATTTTAATAAAATATCACTATTTTAAGCTCCATAATAATAATGATAATAATAATAATCATTATTATTTATTTATTTATTTATGTTACAGTTCCTGGCTGAGATAAGTGGTATAGTTTTCTTTAAGTAAGTAATTGATAATAATAATAACAACAATAATTTCGAAATTTACAGTTTCTGATTGTGATAAATGGTGTAATTTTAGAAATTGTAGTAACTCAAAAAACCATTGTTTTCTTTTAAAAAAAAACAAAAAATATTTTTGTTTGTATTTCTAAAATTAATTATATAATAATAATAATAATAATAATAATAAT